ACTTTGTTTTTCTGTACGTGTGTGTGTGTGTGTGTGTGTGTGTGTGTGTGTGTGTGTGTGTGTTAGATTACCACCACAAAGCCACAATCACCATTCACCACACACTCACAGGTCATGGTGTGGCCAGGTGTGGTAGTGTGGCCGGGAATGGAGATAGTGTGGCCAGAAGTAGAGGTAGTGTGGCCAGGTCAGGCGTGGAGGTAGTGTGGCCGGGAGTAGAGGTAGTGTGGCCAGGAGTAGAGGTAGTGTGGCCAGGAGTATAGGTAGTGTGGCCAGGAATAGAGGTAGTGACTTAGAGAGAAGGTGGCCTGGCTGAAGTGGCCGCCTGACTCCTCCTGATCAATATCTCCGGTGATGGGTACACGACGCCTCCCCTAGGTCTCTCCTACAGGAAGGTCTTGCCCATACTAGGGGAGAGTCTTAACCTAACCGAACCAAGGAGAGTCCAAGGGATATTATAAGTTTAGTTAATTGTGTGTGTGTGTGTGTGTGTGTGTGTGTGTGTGTGTGTGTGTGTGTGCATGAAGAGGAGGGTTGTGTGTGTGTGGGTGTGTGTGTGTGTGTGTGTGCATGAAGAGAGGGGTTGTGTGTGTGTGTGTGTGTGTGTGTGTGTGTATGTGTGTGTGTGTATGTGTGCATGAAGGGAGGGTTGTGTGTGTGTGTGTGTGTGTGTGTGTGTGTGTGTGTGTGTGTGTGTGTGTGTGTGTGTGCATGAAGAGGGTTGTGTGTGTGTGTGTGTGTGTGTGTGTGTGTGTGTGTGTGTGTGTGTGTGTGTGTGTGTGTGTGCATGAGGAGGGTTGTGTGTGTGTGTGTGTGTGTGTGTGTGCATGAAGAGGAGGTTGTGTGTGTGCATGAAAGAGGAGGGGTTGTGTGTGTGTGTGTGTGTGTGTGTGTGTGTGTGTGTGCATGAAAGGAGGGGTGTGTGTGTGTGTGTGTGTGTGTGTGCATGAAGGAGGGTTTGTGTGTGTGTGTGTGTTTGTGTGTATGCATGAAAGAGGAGGGGTGTGTGTGTGTGTGGTGTGTGTGTGTGTGTGTGTATGTATGTGTGTGTGTGTGTGGTGTGTGTGTGTGTGTGTGTGTATGTATGTGTGTGTGTGTGTGTGTGTGTGTGTGTGTGTGTGTGTGTGTGTGTGTGAAAGAGGAGGGTTGTGTGTGTGTGTGGTATGTGTGTGTGTGTGTGTGTGTGAGGAGGGGTTGTGTGCGTGTGTGGAGGGGAGGAGGGCGTGTTTTCCAGGTTGTATTACCTCCGGAGAAAAAGCTAATTCCATGACAGGGTCGCGTGTCTACACAGAGGAGAAGGCCGCGTCCACACACACACACAACCCCTCCTCTCTCATACACACACACACATACACACACACACACACAGCAGCAGCAGTATACGACAGCCTAGTGCCACCCTCTATCACTGTGGTGTGACCGTGTGGCTCGTGGTGTGGCTCTCAGGTGCTGCTTCCTGGATACAGTATAAATTATAAACCTGAGCTCTCTATGTGTATATGTTACAGTAAATAATTGCTGAGTAGTAATAACTTGTATAAGGAAACACCTGAGTTGGTTGTTTATGTACAGGTGTATAATAAAGAGTTCAGGTATATCAACAATGATTAAGAATACGTCGCTTCAACCAAGAATTTTATCCGGATTTTATACCTCGTGTGTGTGTGTGTGTGTGTGTGTGTGTGTGTGTGTGTGTGTGTGTGTCTCAATAAGTGTTACCTACCGTGAAACACAAACTATGTAACACAGTCTAGGATAATTACACACCATAATAAACATTGGGCCTCACGACACAAGCTTCGCGTGTTGTGTTACCTTTAAGAACGTGTGATGACCTCCAGGTGTGTGTGTTTACCTGTGAGGGATACCTGGTTTAAACATTTCTTGATGGCTATAGTGAACACGCCTTAACCCTTATCTAGGTCATATAGTACTGCTGGTTAAAGGCCCAATGACAATAATACTGGTAAAAGCTATGATTGTATTGGTGAGAATTATATTAGTACCGGTAAATAACTTTTTATATCAATATTAATCCAGGTGTGCGGTGGCTGAGTGGATAAAGTCCTCATCTCCCGTCCTATTGTTCCCTGGTTCGATCATGGGGCTCCCTCTCCCCCATTCTACTTCACTGTGAATGGGTATTAGAGATAAAGATAGAGTTATAAGCTAAATAATATTACACACACACACTTTTTTCCACACACTTCCCCTCTCATTTCCCTTCCCTCCCTCTCTCCATCTCCCCCTCTCTTCCTCTACTTCTCTGTTCCTCCCACCCCCCACCCCTCACTCTCTTAGACAATCTGGTGACAGTGAACAAGAAACCCCTCAAGACCATAGAGAGTGTGTGAGGGGAGGGGAGGGGGGGGGGAAACCTCTCGTTCATGGGGGTGAGGTTAAAGGCCACGAGAGGTCACTTTCTTCAGCCAATTAGGTCACGCCACGTAAAAGTCTTGCCATTTGTGACACCTTCGCCTGACCTGGGGTGAGGTGACGAAGGCGACGAAGGTGAAGAACTGTTGATGTAGCCAGAATAATGTAGTTTGATGCTTGTGTGTGTACCTGTGTGATGCATGTGTGTACTTGTGTGATGCATGTGTGTGTACCTGTGTGATGCATGTGTGTACCTGTCTGATGCATGTGTGTAGCTGTGTGATGCATGTGTGTATACCTGTGTGATGCATGTGTGTACCTGTAACGCCTGTGTGTACCTGTGTGATGCATGTGTGTACCTGTGTGATGCATGTGTGTACCTGTGTGATGCATGTGTGTACCTGTGTGATGCATGTGTGTACCTGTGTGATGCATGTGTGTACCTGTGATGCCTGTGTGTACCTGTGTGATGTTCTTATGTGTGTACCTGTATAATAACTAATATAACATGCACCAAACTACACAATTAATCTAATACAACACAACACCTAACTCTAATCACTATACATAAACTATTATTAACCATGAATGTAAATAAAAGCAATTCCTTATATTTTGTTAAAGCTATTATTTACACCCACTAACAAATCAGATAGGATGGGTCCAGGTACATCTACCTAGCCACTCATAAGATCTAAGTTGTGGTGGTAATTTGAGAACAGATCCAGTGGTTGCTGTCGGGGCTGTGTGATGAGCGATTTTGGCTTCATTACCTGTACAAATATACTAATAAGCTACAGTGCAAGTCAGGTGTGTAATATGTGCAAGTCAGGTATGTAATATGTGAAAGTCAGGTAAGTAATATGTGCAAGTCAGGTATTATTAATTAACTACTTTAATTTTTGTTTTTATTACTTTATTTGTTGATGGTGTTTAAATAAGTGGGATTTTTTTTTATTTCTGTGACTTTCCCGTTCATCTGTCTACCTGTGTGATGTATGTGTGGCCTCATTAGTACAGCAGGTGTGTGTGTGTTGGCCACGTGTGTTTATTCGTGTCTCATAGGTGTGTCTGTTTATGTGTGTGTGTCTGTGTGTTCATCTGTGAAGTGATTTATAATACGACGAGGGACTTGTTATTTACCCTCACAGACAGACAGACAGACGTTGTTTACTAGTGTATACCTGCACTATGTATGTATGTATGTATGTATGTATGTATGTATGTATGTGTGTATGTATGTATGTGCACTATGAATCAATGGGAACTTATATGATAAATTTAACTGAATAAATAAATAAATCTGTCTATTAAAATTCTCGCAAAATTTATATAGCGGCCTAACCTGGTGAGCGAGTCGCTGTGTATGGTAAGGCCACAAATCGATTAAGTAATTTCGTAATGAATCATACATACGACTTTAATTTTGTACCGTAGTGAACAATATCCTATGGGACGGAAAGCCTATTAGGGAATTAATTATATTTAACAACATTATTGTATTAAAGGGATATTGAACCATTGCTGATCCATGTATTAATGTGTATAGATGATTATGTATATTTGTCATAAGGTTGTATTAACTCTTAATTTAATATGGTGGAGATAAGCTTTAGATTAATTGACACTAAGCTTATACAACTGGCAGTGTGTGTGTGTGTGTGGGTGTGTGTGTGTGTGTGTGTGTGTGTGTGTGTGTGTGTGTGTGTGTGTGTGTGTGTGTGTGTGTGTGTGTGTGTGTGTGTGTGTGTGTGTGTGGGTGTGTGGGCGTGTGTGTGTGTGTGTGTGTGTTAGGTCAGTGCATTATGTTATTATTCTCGGATGTATAAACGAGTTCCATCACACGCACATACCTGTACAGTACTGCACACTTCACCACCGTGTGTGTGTGTGTGTGTATGTATATATGTATTTCCCTACATACATACACATACACGCACACCTGCACCAGCGACCGTGACTTATATCAGCCAAGTCAGCAGGTGTTGGGTGAGTGTAACACAGCTGTTGGTCTGTACAGGTATGGCAGCTGTTCCTGAAGGGGGAGGGGTGTATGTTCGTATGTAAGCATGTATGGTGTGTGTGTGTGTGGTATGTGTTTGTATGTGTATATATGTTAGTAGACATTAATATATGTATGTATGTATGGCCCTTATAAATTACGCAGTTATCTAGAGAGAGAGAGAGAGAGACGATTCAGCTTCATTCATACACAATGTCAGAATTACCCAGTTGACACCCGAGTTAATGCTTGAGATGGCAGTGTCGTGGTAACTTCCTATTATTGATTATATTATCAAGACTCAGCCAATGTCTCTGATTATATGACAGTCTTCGGGCGTCTGGCAGTGCTCTTAATATCTTCAATCCGGTCCAAGTTATCGTACGGCACCAAGCGGGGGATGGGGGTGAACTGCATCGGTGTAAATGTTTGTTTATATCTTGTTTGTATCTTCGTTCTGTCTTTGGTCCTCTTTCAATAAATTTTTGTTTGTTCATCAAAGATTTTATGCGTATAAAGTCTTTGGCTGTTTATAAAGGCGCGTTCACTCATACTAAATATCGACGGGAAATCAACTATTACCACCAACTTCGTCAGGACAGGCAACACCCAGGCGCCATGACGACAGCTGGTGGTCGCCGACTCGCCGGTGAGACTAGTCAACGGTTCTCACCGCCCTGAAGTTGTCGATTCTCCGTCGCCCTTATTGATCTTTGAAATTCAAAAGTATTCCTTCTATCCTTCATAATTTGTCTTCATTTATGCCTGAAATTTGTCTTGGTTTGAAACATCATTTCTGTATTACATGACGGTGTATGCAATTGAAGTTATGAAAGGATTGCTGTAATGGACATCACGACAAGACCACCCAGACACAACAAGACGGCGACGCGGGAATAGGATCACCAACTCTACAACCTTCTCTTAAGTAAACATGGATTCTGCCGAAATACCATGGAGGAGAGAGTCCCAACTTGCTCTCATTCAAAAAGTGAAAGAATTACCAACGTTATGGGACGTGACGAACATCCTCTATCATAAGAAAGGGATTAAGAGAAAGGCTTACCAACTGGTGTGTGATCACCTCAAACAAAAGTTTCCTGAGCTACAATACCTAAATGCAGGTAAATAATTTGTTATTTTTACAAGTTATACCAGTTGTAGAGTGTTAATACTTTACATATATTTCAACGCCCCCCCCCCACCCACTTTATTTCATATAAACTGTTGTCTTTTGGGGTTATATAGACAGGCCCTATTGTATTCTGTTTCAAGAAAGAGTTTAAGTAAAGGAAATCTTGACCATATTCTAAATAATATGGCAGGTTTTACTCACCTCATGGAGGTATAATGATCTATAACCACTAACAGATATTTTCACCACAGTATCAGATTTAGAAGCATCTTAACCTCGAAATCGCTATTCACGTGTTAATCGATTTATTTTATTCCAGGTACTGTGAAAACTAAATTCAATCATTTAAGAACCTACTACCAACGTGAACTAAAGAAGATTCAGAAAACTGCCATTGGAACCGAAGTCAAAACGGAGTCCAAATGGGAATACTTCCGTCACTGCTCATTTATACATACAACACAGGTAACTGTTTGGGTTCAGATGTTTTGATGGTTATTATGTTATGTAATTCTATAATAGACACTGAGCAAGGTCAGCGTGTTTGCGCCTCTTTATCAATGACTAAAGCATTCGGGAAATCGTCTTCTATAGTAACATGTGTTATAATTGATAATTTTATTTTAAATTATCGGTATTGGTAAAACTGGTTGACTCAATACGTTTCTAGTTTTAAGTAATTACCTTCTTATAGTTTGATTAACACTCATTTCCTACTGCAGCAGCTGTTAGACAACGTGGCTGAAAATACTGTGGCTCCTGAGGCATTTGCTGACCAACACCAACATCTGGAGGGGGAGGCGGAGGGAAATGAGGATGAATTCTGTCCGCTAATTACATCTATTACATCAGGTGGAAATTCAATCATGGTTCCGACCAAGTCCGAAGCACTCTCACCCACACGGTCCACACCTCCCTTACCTGTACCTCCAACACCCACACTATTATCAGCTCAGCCATCAAGTGCCCACAACCCCAAATGGCAAGAAAGAGTAAAAAAGAGAAAGTCGGATGCGGTAGATGCCTCCTCTCAGACCATGGACAATGATGAAGCCATAGTTAAAACTGAACAGAAAAGGACTCCATCAACTGTGCTCTCCCATGGTCAGAGAATAGGGGGAGTGATTGACACGGTATGGGAACAACTACCACCTGCCAATCGTCGGAAACTCCTCGCTGATTTATTGTTTGTCTTGGCTAAGCATGTGTCTGGGGATGAACAGGTGTAGTGTACTGTCGATGAACCACCTCAGTCCCAAAGAGTAAAGCTGACAGAAACAGTTATTTGTTATTTTTATCCAACTTGACTGTGTGTGGATCATGTTAGGGTTGCTACGGTGTGTTAAAATGAGAATATTATATGTGACAAAATTACATATTGTACTTATACGTATGTGAGCGAAATGTGTGGAAATAGCTGGGGAGTTGCGGCACCCTGACATGTGTTCTGTGTTATATGTAATTGATTTAGTTTCTGAAAAAGATATGACATTCAGGTTTAAGTTAGTTCTTCAAGTTTATTTTGTCAATTACGGAAAACTAAAATAACTACAGTATTAATAACATAAACAAATGTATTGACAGCAATTTAGTCAGTCAGGCGTGAATACAGAAGGAAAATATTTATATAAAATATATTTCAAACACGTTTTAAACAACACACATTTATTACAAAGAAATCTACATAAAACACCAATTTCAGCATTGTTCATTAATATTTTCTATTTTTACGAATGGAGACATTCACACTATGGAACTTGTCCTTTATTCATCAGATATATTTTTAAAATTCCCTAACTCCTTTGGTGTCACTGGAATGGCTTCTGCCTGCCCCCTGAAGTCTCTCAAGTCCGTCACGAGGCAGTTGACGCCACTGTCTAAGTTGTATTATTCTGTTGTCAACATCTACCGTCTCTGGTGGTGCTGCAGCTCCTCTTGGGTGTGCCCTCAGGTGATTGTACAAGACCACAGTGCACAAAATTATTTAATGAACGTTACTGAGAGATGTACACTCACCAACAAAAGTCCTGACGCCTCACCTGCCTCTTCGTGAACCCAGAGATCAGAGACCTGTGACGTTTCACTTAGTACAGTACACACCCGTAGCAAAATATCGAAGAGTGAGGGACAGTCGTTCACCCGGAGACTTTAACTTCTTTATAAGAGTGTTCTGGCATCAAAAGGTGTAATAATTCCTGAAACTTGGCCTTGCTCATGTGACTTCTTTTATACCTTGAAGCGATTTTTCTTGCGTTTAACTTTCTTTAACTGAACTGTGCATGTTCTTAAGACCGTGATAGCAGCTGCTGTCACATACTTGGGTGCCAATGCTTGTTTTGGTTGCTGAAACGGTCAGCAAATCGGTGCGAAGGATTTTTATTGAGGTGACCGAGTCGACGATATCACAGCATTCCTTACTGCAAGTCGATGAAACGGTTCCAACGATTTTGATCAACGGAATATGCGTGTGTGAACTCGCCTTTATTGTAATACTAACATACAAAATAAACACTGGATTAGGATAGGTAGAATCTCAATGTGGTTTCTCCGTTGATTTTAATTAATATTTTGTTTTGTTACGTCAACCAGCCGAGGCGCGTCTACAATACGGATGTCTGTTGATAAATCGGTGATAAACTCGCGGAGTTATCTGTGAAAGAATTGATAGACTAATTTAAGGAATTATTTTAAAGCTTTTATGTCTGTTTACACTGTATTGATGTATCATGTAATGTCAGTAAGCTTGGGATCATTTTATTTAATGTAATAATATAAAAAATGTGGATAATTAAAGTAGAATCTGTTACGTAATGTGTGTGTGTGTGTGTTCTCTCTTTTCCTCTCTTTCCTTCTCCCTTCCCACTTCTTCTCTCGTCCCACTTTCCCTCTCTCTCTTCCCTCTTCCCTCCTACTTCTTCTCCTCCTCTTTCCCTCTCCTCCTTCCCTCTTCTCCCTCCCTTTCTTCTTCCCATCTTTCCGTCTCTCCTGCCTCCTCTTCCATGTCTTCACTCCATTCTTTCCTCAATTTCCCCCTCCCCCCTCCCTCTCCCCCCTCCCTCCCTCCCCCTCCTCCCTCTTTTCATTCTTCGGTGAACGTGAGTGTGCTGCCTGGGTGTGCTGCTACTACCCTCCACCTCCCTCCCCTCCACTTACCCTTCCCTCCCCCTCCAACACCCCTTCATCACTCCCTCCATCCCTCTCCCTCCACCATCCCTCCCCTCACTCCCTCCTACCTCCTCCAACACCCCTTCATCACTCCCTCCACCCACCTCCATCCTCCTCCACTACCCCCTCACTCCCTCCAACACCCTTCATCCTCCCTCCACCCTCCTTTCATCACTCCTCCACCATCCCTCCCTCACCTCCATCACTCCCTCCACCACCCCTCCATCCTTTCCTCCACCCCTCCATCACTCCCTCCACCATCCTCCCTCCCTCCCTCCCCCCTCCCCTTCCCTCACTCCCCCATCACCCCTCCCTCACCCCTCCCTCCCTCCCCATCCTCCCTCACCCTCCCTCACTCCCCATCACCCCTCCCTCACCCACCACCCCTCCCTTCATCACTTCCATGTTCTGTGTAGTATCACGCGAGCTAACATACCTTCTCACATCTGACCCGGATGGCGACTGAACCCAGGACACAAATATGAAAGGCAACTGCTTACCACCCTTCCTTCTAGCCAGCCAGCCTCGTGCTAAACCCTGGTGGTGATGACTTGCGTTCTCTTACTAACGTTTGGTCACACAAGGAAGTGAACTTAACCTACCATTAATATTTTTACAGGCACGGCATTAAACCTAACCTAACCAAACCTAACCAAACCTAACCTAACCTAATCTTCAGGTGATTTACAATGTTTAGTAACACCAACAAGAAGTGGCTTAAGTCTATAATCTCTTAAGTCAGGGCTTGTAATAACATCTGTAAACATAATCAAAGTTGTGTGTGTGTGTGTGTGTGTAGCGCCATAAGAGGGAGGAAGGGATGAAGGTACAGTGAGAGAGGGAGGGAGATACAATGAGGGAGGGAGGTATATATTGAGGGAGACAGGTACAATGAGGGAGGGAGGTATATATTGAGGGAGACAGGTACACTGAGGGAGGGAGGTATATATTGAGGGAGACAGGTACAATGAGGGAGGGAGGTATATATTGAGGGAGACAGGTACAATGAGGGAGGGAGGTATATTGAGAAAGAGAGGGAGATACAGTGAGGGAGAGAGGGCGGTGACAGCTTACCGCACACCTCACCTAAACAATAACCAAAATACAGTACTTGTATCCGGGAACATTATGTCGCGTTTTGTTCAGCCATATTGTTCACTTTGTTCATCGATGTTCAGCCATGCAGCCATATTGTTCACTTTGTTCATCGATGTTCAGCCATGCAGCCATATTGTACACTTTGTTCATCGATGTTCAGCCATGCAGCCATATTGTACACTTTGTTCATCGATGTTCAGCCATGCAGCCATATTGTACACTTTGTTCATCGATGTTCAGCCATGCAGCCATATTGTACACTTTGTTCATCGATGTTCAGCCATGCAGCCATATTGTACACTTTGTTCATTGATGTTCAGCCATGCAGCCATATTGTACATTTTGTTCGTTGATGTGCATCCATATTGTACATTTTGTTCACTGGTGTTCAGCCATATTGTCTTGTGGTTAAGTTAGGTTGATGTTCAGGTGAATTAGGTTAGGTTTAGCGTTAGGTTAGTTTGGTTAGGGTGTCTTAGGTTACGTTAGTTTAGGTTAGGTTATGATAGATTAACATTAGGTTAGGTTAGATTAGATTATCATTAAGTTAGGTTAGGTTAGATTAGATTAGCATTAAGTTAGGTTAGGTTAGATTAGCATTAGGTTAGGCTAGATGTAGATTAGGTCAGCATTAGGTTAAGTTAGGGTGGTCGGAAACAGTGTGACTACAGGAAACGATGGGCGGGGGTGTGGTGGTGGTGGGCGGGGCGACCACCACGGATGTGACTGTCATACACAACACGCCCACACACACACACACACACACACACACACACACACACACACACATGCACACACACAAACAGACACATACAGATAGACGAACACACAGAAATACAGATAGCTACACACACAAACACACACACACACACACAGACTGACAGACGTATATTGAAATCACACAATCCTCACTCATTACACAACCCTGAAGTAGATAATGCCAGATATTTACCAAAAGTGTTCAGAGAAATTTGGTTTAAACATTTATTGATAAAAATAAAATAGAATCAGCGGAGTAAGAAGTCTCTCTCTCTCTCTCTCAGTATTACTTTAATTTATTCAACTTTCCAACTGGTTGTACAAGTCACAAGTATTTCTCACGTATTCACCAGTACATTATTAACATCTGTATGACTGTTATTGGGCGTGAGTCTTGGTTACTTTCTCTTGTGTGTGTGTGTAAGTTTTGTGGGCTTGTGTATGCATACGTCTGTCTATCTGTTCCGTGTGCGCATGTGTGTGTGTGTGTGTGTTTGTTTTCGTTTGGCCATTTTTAAAGCCCCTTTCTTTGTTTACAGGATCAGCTGAGACTCTCCTTCCCTCCTTCCTCCAGCGGTTCAGGTGAGTTGTTTACACAGGTGTTTACACAGATGTGGCCGTTGTTACAGGTGTTTACACAGGTATATGGTCAGTGCATGTTGTTTATATTGATCTGGAACAAGGCAGAGGTTAATGATTTAGTGGTTACAGGTGTGTTGGTAATGATAACTGTATGCAGGTGTTTTACAGGTGTAGGCCATAAAGACATGTAGTGGCAGAGTGGTTGCAGCGCTCGACTCTTGGTCTAAGGGACACTAGTTCGTTCCCGGGTCGTCATGTTAAGGGGCCGACATTCAGTTATATATTAAAACCATTATATACAGGTGTTTCGTGTTTTTACAGGTGTTCACAGGTGTGTTGGTGGTGATGGGGCAATGTTTTTGTTGTTAATCATTGTACTGTATAGTATGTGTGTGTGTGTGTGTGTGTGTGTGTGTACCCGGAAATGATCCACCATCACCACTCCCAACCACTACCACCGCCACTAACCAACTACCACCACCACTAACATCATTACCACCACCAGCATCACCAACCAACACCACTACACCCACCACTACCACCACCACCACACTCAGCTAACCCCGGAAAAGAGAACAATGTGTTTGATCACCTGTCTGTCTAGGGGGGGTAGATGGAAGGGGGTAAGGGGAGGAGGAAGAGAGAAGGGAAGGAGAAGAGTGAGAAGAGTTAAAGGTATTGAAAGTGAGGGAAGGAGGAGGAGTCGAGTGAGAAATGGTAGTGGAAGGAGAGAGGGAGAAAGGGTTTAGGTGAAAGAGGGGGAGTAAGGGTGAGGAAGAAGAAGGAAGAGGAGGAAGGATGTAGAGGAGGAGTAGAAGAAGGAGGAGGAGGGAAGAAGGTATAAGTAACTAAAAACAACAAGAGAGAAAGAAGAAATTTATTGTGTTGTCATCAGGTATAGTGTTGGGGGGTGATGGTGTAGTGTAGTATGGTGAGGGCAGGAGGTGTAGTGTGGTGAGGGCAGGAGGTGTAGTGTGGTGAGGGCAGGAGGTGTAGTGTGGTGAGGGCAGGAGGTGTAGTGTGGTGAGGGCAGGAGGTGTGTGTTTGTGGTTCACCTCACGACGCCTCACATGTCAACTGCAGGTAAGGAAATATTACACCCAGGTAGATTCTCGCTTTTAACTTTCCTCGCTGTCGTTCTATAACATATCTCAATATAATTATGTAAGAGATAGACTTTCCGGATACGTTAGGTTTGGTTAGGTTAGGTTTGATTTTTCATTATAAATAATATTTTAGACAATTCTAAGATACCTTTCTTCTATGATGTTTCCTCGTAAACGACCCAGAACCCAGATATTTAATATACCAGGATACGGCCGGTGTTGCAGGCGTCAACCACACTAGGTGAGCTCAGGAGTCAGGACCCAACCATATGGGTCCTGGGTGGGCTATGCTCTAGAGTGCATGGTGCCTGATGGTGCAACACTCTAGAGTAATTTGTATCTAGGCACCGTTCACTCTTGAGTGCATCTCACCTGATGGTAAAATGAACTGTAATGCAAAATCCATAACTCATTAATTCTCATTTCTGAGTATTAAAGTTTTATTTAGACATAATGTATACATAATATTAGTGACAAATAACCAAAGAAATTCGACAGCTATGGCCATAAATAAACACTTGTCATCCTAAGTGGACATTACTCCATCTCAAACGACGTCTTTCATTATTTTAATATGAACTGCTGTTGGATTTAAGGAGGCATAAATTGATGGCGTGTAGCTGTATAGTCTCTATTGACGGCTTCTATTTTGAATGTTTGGTGATATCAAGTCTTAGTTATGAAGAGACTTTAAAAAAGTTTGATCAAAACTTAAAATGGGAGTTACAGGCAGCAAACTTCACATTTTTTCTATAATATCTCAACGTATATGACAAACCGATAGATAGATAAATTCGTCGATTCTGGGTGGAATAAAAAAATGTATTCAGCATAAAAAAACTGCAATATTTTTCTTATGCCCCAAGTACGATAATTTCCCTACTGGTACATTAACTTAACCCCGGGTATGATAATTTTCCTGCTGGTACATTAACTTAACCCCCGGGTACGATGATTTTACAACATACACGATAACTTAACCCTATGAGTACGATAACTATATATACTGTATATATAGTTCTCGCGGGGTCAACATAACACGAATTCACCTCCGTTGAACCTTAATAATGAGGTGGACAATGCAGTTTGAGTCACATCACGCCGGATATCAGTAACTCGTTCAAAAAAGTATTATTATGGCAGGAAATATATAGTAGGTCTGGATTTAGAACGTCCATATGGAAGATAATTTTGTCAACTCACAAAAGTATGAAAATTTTGTTCACTCACATATGTACGATTTATTTTCCATCAAAGAATATTTTTGTCCATTTATTTACGATAATGTTGTCCACTCACGTACGATAGTAACTCTTATCAGAACTCCAACTGCTAGAACGCATCTTAACTTCACCTTAACATAACCAAAAGATTTAAAAATGGTGTTTAAAAATTACCGAGAGATTATCCTAAAGTAATAATTTATCTTAATATCCCCTAGGTATAATATAACTTGTGGAGGTTAGAACATCAGGACTTATATAAGTAATCAAACATGAGATTATGAGAATTAAAGAATTATCATGAGGGTGGTGACGAGTCTGCTAGAACGCTCAGTAAAGAGACCACGGGGTTAAGAGAATTCCGTTTTACATTTCGTCTGGTATTTGAATATCACTTTAAATGCGGATGTGCAATTTACATTTTGATGATGAGAGACTATTAATATGCCTCAACTTGCCTATATTTGGTGTTTTAATTCCGGAAAATATACTGCGTAGCATTCCAGTTGACGGTTATATTGTGGTGAAAATATATTTTTTTTATTTTTTTATTCCTCTTATACTGAGAATAATAGGTAGTTTAATAGCGGAAATAGCTGGTAATATTCAAACACATTTCTGATATAAAAATACTAATGAAAAACAAACAAGCAAAAGGGAATAAATCATATATTTTTCTTGTTTAATTTTTGAAATGCGAAAATAATTCTTAGTGTTTACTTTGTCTTGTTCATAAATGGTAACTGAAGATGAGAAACATTACATAATTGAATAATGTGAGAAAAAAAGGAGAAGAGACTAATAAGAGAACTGAAAGAAGAGATAGAGACTGTAGTTCTCAATGTAAAGATAAACTTACGAAGCGTGCGTGTTGAGGGGCTGCAAGAACCTCCTCCTCCTCTCCCTGTATAAACAAAGATATAATCCTCTTCATTTTTAATTAGCAGTTGATTTAGTATAATTACTTAGATTATAATACGCATTTAAAAGACTGACCTCTTAGTTGTTGAAGCGTATGATATGCGTATGCATTTGTATGACCGTATGTGTGTGTGTGTGTGTGTAGCAGCGCACGTCTGTGTTTGTATGAGGTGTGTGTGTGTGTGTGTGTGTAGCAGCGCACGTCTGTGTTTGTATGAGGTGTGTGTGTGTGTGTGTGTGTGTGTTTTATCAAGGTTTCTTATAAATTAGGAGAAAGGCTGGGATAATGTTTATGTATGTATGTATGTATGTATGTATGTATGTATTGAGATATTTTACCATGTCTTATATATACTGGCATGGGATAGTGAGTGTGTATACATATTGAGAGTGTGGATCTAGTGAAGCTCTATATGTTGTCTCGTCACTTGTACCATTACCACCACCACCACCACCACCTGTCTCAAGAAGCGCCCTCACTACCACCACCACCACCTGTCTCAAGAGTCTCTTCAGTTCACCTTACCTTATCGGGTTAACCTAATTCACCTCCTCCTCCTCCTCCTCCCTCACCTGAAAGTCTTAACATTTATCACATCACCTGAACCTAACTCACCTGTATGGTCCACCTTGTAATGACACTAAGTCACACATACATACACACGAATTGATACATACATACGGATTGACACACACACCCACCAACACACGGATTGATACATACATACATACATACATACATACATACATACATACATACATACATACATACCCTCTACAAAGACCAGTGAGATGCTCTATGTTATCAGTGCTCAGTGAGAGAAGAGAGATACGCCTTATCATGGTCCTTGGTGGTAAAGAATTAACAGCCTTGTGTGGGGCCTCAGGTGGACACATTGATCCCCGCGCGATATGACACGCTACCTGACAGAACGTGATCTACAAGGTTGGGTTAGGTTGGGTTGGGTTAAGTTAGGTTAGGTTAGGTTAGGTTAGGTTGGGTTCGGCTGGGTTAGGTTAAGTTAGGTTGTGTTAGGTTAACTTACCTCACCTCACAGACAGGCAGACAGACATATCAATTCGATAACTTTAGATAAATTAGACACATTTAGATTTAGGAGCGAGATAGGTAAACATTGTCTTGAAAATATAGTGGATAAGTGGAACAAGTTACCAAACATCATCATTAACTCGAATACTCTGGATAGCTTCAAACATAGGTTGGATGGCTATATGAGCAATAGGGGTTGGGTGTAAACGGGACTACCTAGTATGAGCTAATAGGGACGCTGTAGTTTCCTCCATTCTTATGTTCTTATATTAACCCGAGCAACTCTTACCTAAACAGCTCACCTCACAGGAATTTGTCGCGCTCCTTAACACTGTTTAATCTTGTTAAGGGAACTGGAAATAAGGTTGAGAACGTTACACTGGAATGGCAAGACGAGGTTAGGTTATGTAAAGGTGTAGTGTTGCCTTCACTCCTCTTCTCCTTCGTCCTCCTTCTCCTCCTCCTCCTCATCCTCTTCCTCCTCATCCTCTTCCTCCTCCTCATCCTCTTCCTCCTCACTGCCACTACCATTACCATCGGGGGTGTGTATGTGGGTCCTTGGCGGGTCCTTGGCGTGTGTGTGCGTGTGTGTGTGGGTCCTTGGCGGGGGTCGACACTCGCTGGAGGAGACTGTGGTTAGTGATAGGAATTTGTGAAGGTCAGAGATGCCTTATTTACCAGGCCTTGTTAACCACAGGA